CACCCGCGTATCATCATTTTTTTATAAGCTATACGCCATGTATAAAAATAGCGTATGGGTATACGCCGTGTACCCCCGTATACCCTCCAATACATCACTGGTTATGTCGCGGTAGTTCTACCGCTGCTGACCACCGTTAATTCATTATTATTGTAAATTAGGTATATTTTAATAAATATTATTGACACTGGAATACATTTATAAACCTGGTAATAGGCAAGGGATGAAGGGTGAACTCTCATTGCTTCACTTACCTAACCTGCCAAAAAAAAGTGTTTATCCCTTCATGTTTAGAAATCCTTGCTACGCCACTGATACGCACAAATAAGTTTATTATCAGTGTTTGGAAAATGATTCGAAAAAGTGATATCAAAACAAATTAGATGCAATCTTCAGTGCTAAGAAGTTGTACCGAATACTGAATTTGGATTCAGAGAAAACCACTCGTCAACCCACTAGGTCCACCGTATTCTTGACGAAATAGCCTTATGTCGTTTGAAAGTAAAAACTCCTGCTCGGTAGTATTTTTTAGACGTAACACAAGCTTCTGATCGGGTATGGCACACCATCTTGCTCTTCAAATTAAAAAAGTTCCTCCCAGCTCCACTCTAGACATAATTATACAAATAAATGCGTGGAAAAATATTTTAAAAGGTTTACAAAAAAAAAAAAATAAATATTTTTGGCTGTACCCGACAGTTTGTTTAGTTGTAAAAATTACGAATGTAGGTGTCGAAAATATAAAAAATGAAAAACATAAGAAATTTAATTTAAAACAAAAAAACACAGACTCGTCGCATTAATTACGTTCCGTAACGACTCGTAAAAATCATTCATAATGCTCTGATTGTATTGTGTATACCTTAGTATACACCTAATTCGTAAGTTACCAGAAGCACGGCGACACGGCAGTTATTATAATTTGCAAACGACAGAATACATTTCTGTTCGATAGTTATATTAATTAACAAACTCAACAATTAGACATATAGCGTTCTGCCAACTTTTAACCAGCCACCTCGGTATAATGGTCCGTCCCATGAGTTACACAACTATCACGCACCGACGCCGGTGTAGAAAACTATTGTCGTATTGCTTGCCGTATACAAATACAAATATACAAAATATTTATACTGTGTGCGAGACCAATATTGTTTTAAACAAAAACGGTTTGCTGTCGCAAAACGACTGAAAAAATTAATGGTATTCGCGTACGAACGAAATTTAATCCATAGGAGTTCAGGCATTTATTATTAAAAAAATTATAATTATTATAGGTTTATTAACTATTATAAATATTTATTCGTACACACAAATAAATAAGAACTAACCCGAGTATATGTAATATTGATATGTACGTAAAAATTTGCTTCAATATTTTTTTACTGGCACGCTTTGGTAGTTTTATTTTGGAAATAATGTTTCTTCTTTACGGAAACTACATAAGAGGGCATTATAATAAGTGCTCATAATATAATATTCACACTTTTGAGACTTAAGACCATAGGCGCAACTAGAGCCCAAATATTGGGGGTGCTAAATTACATAGCTCGCACAAACCCGTGGGTGGCTATGCCAACACTCCTTCCACCCCAAGTACCTTATCTCAATTTAATCATTAAATGTATCATAACAACACACATACACTAATATTTTAATTTATAAATATTAACAAGCATAAATTGTAATATACCTATTTATTTCATTATATCATTTTATTTAGGTCATACAGCTTTAAGAAATATACAAATTAAAAAAATATTATACAATATAAAACATATAATATTTATACTGGTATTATCATGCGATGACTAGTGGAATATTTTTCAAGTAATTCTGACGATTTAATTAACTAATAGTCATGAACAATTCATCTTTTTGATAAAATCATCAAATAAAAATAACTATATGAAATAAGAAAAATACTATTTTTTCACAGAATTTTTCCATTGTTAAATTTTTAACTGGGGATGCTAAATTAGAGTCTGGGGGGCTATAGCACCCCTAGTTGTGCCTATGCTTAAGACGGATTTAGACCAGTGGCGCAAATATCGGATAAGTAGGCAAAGTGAAATTTTGGGGTCCCTGATTTATCGAAGGCTCCCTATAGGAATATTATAATTATTATTAATTTATTTAATTTATTAATTATTATTAATTATTTACAATATTATAATAATGCAAGTGGTTGCTCGGCGTACAAACAATAAAATTGGTTTGTTTACCCTATATTTTGCTATAAACATCTATGTATAGCATAAAATTATATATTTCTTTTATAATTATGCTGTTATTGTTGTTATTAATATTCTATGGAGTACCTATATTAAATTTCGAGTTATTGATTTATTAATATTATAAAATTATTACCATGACTAAATAATAATAATTATAATAATATAGGTAATATTAATAAATAATAATAATAATGGAGCCAAGTATAATGTTTGAAATATCCAATTTTATTCCTAATAAACATATTTATAGAAATTCGTTATCGCGACTCGACAAGCCAAAGCCGATGAGCGGAGGAGTGGTGTCACGAGTACGGTTACTATTAGTAGTAATTAAACTTAAGCATTTTGTATATGTTTTTTTACAAAGAGCTCTTAAAATATTAATACTGATTTTACTTTAAAAGCTTATAATATTTAAAAAAAAGTTAGTTTATAGAATTATTTTGGATTTTAAATGAAATTTCAAACGATACAATGGTTTTTATTATCTTATAGGTGGGGAGGAAGCGGGGATTTTTAAGGCCATTTACGTTTTTGGTTAGGGAACCCCATCTTATATTTGACTTTGGGGCCCCCAAGTGTCTAGTCAGTGATTTGGACGTCGATTATTTTACATGATTTTCATTATAATATTATGATAAGAAATACTATATAATATAGATTTATCGAAGAACATTTCATTTAATGCCGTTTTCACGGATTATTTCGCACAAAAGTGTTTTTACGTCGAGCGTCGATAATATTAAATAATCACCAGTTACCACTAACTGCAGTAACTGTTATGTTCTTAAACGTCAAAACAGCTATTTCAGACTTTTGGAAACTCGTGCAAAACACACACTTTCACACACACGCACACTGCACGGTCTATTCAATTACGTTCAAAACAATTGTTCCAAGATAGTGATCCATCACAAAGCTTCAGCCGTCCGGACGTATTTCCATCCGCCAAATGATATCAGTGCATTCCAACTCCGGGGACCGTGCACAGCTATTGCGCACGAAGAAGAACGTATAGTTTGTTTTTCAAATAAAATCTACCGTTTCACGGGAAAAACAAATATTATTATTAATAATAATAATAACAACAATAATCGAAATAATAGTAATAATAATAATGATAATCGAAAAACTTTCGTACTTTCGATGTAGATATTACATTATTGTGTAACAGTTAATAAAGGATACCCGTATTAAATGATGAACGCGTAAAGATTGATGGATTGTTTGTTTCGATGGGACGGTAAATATTTCTACGTGCCAACTACGTTACTGCGCGTAAGAATCAAATTATACATTGCGTGAACTTTGTGTCAACGACTTAAAAAATAAACATATATACGGTACACTGGAACACAAATTATATTATAATGTGTTTGAAGAAGATCGCTATCATTTGCCTAACCAACCCTTCAACCTTAACGCGGAGTATAGGAAATATTTCCTCGTTGTAACATGCGCCAATTGTATATTATTACTAGTTATTACTTTTTACCATTTAAGTGATTAAATATGGGTGGGCGGTCTTAGAAAAATGGGGTTGCAAAGGTGTGTTTGTGTATGCGGTTAAAAGTTACATTTGTGTAATTATTATTCATCTATTTTTAGCGTTTGGTCGTTTTACAGTACGGACTAGAACAAATATTTACCATAGTTTATAAATTTACAAAAAAAAAATATTTTTATTTATTTATTTATTTTTTATACCCAAGGTTGAGCTCGAAATGGCGTAAATGTCAGATAGGTAATATTAATATTTCAAAGCTGAAAATAACATGGATTGAAGAATGCAAGAGGAGGAAAAGTAATAATAATAAGCAATGATAAAGAACAGTTTTTGGAGCAAGAAAAATTAATAAATCGAGACGAAGAGGAGCTTAAAGAGTTAAAGAGCAAGGAAATATTTTAAACAAGAAGACGGTAAAGTGTGTGCACTAAGCAAGAGTTGAACAATAAAATGATCACATTATCAATACATTTTGTTTAAATTATTCATAGATACCTACGAAGCTTTACCAAAAGTTTTAAACGGTTTACATGGAAAAAGTCGACTGAATACATATCCTTGTTAATTATCCGTTTATATATTTACTTTGCGGACATGATAAATGGACTATAAGAGATAATATACTCCAAATCTTGTATAGGATCGATTCGTTTGCATACATTTAATAAATCATTAAAACAATTTTCAACATTACTTAATATTAAGTACTTGACAATAGTTGGTTTTAAAGAAAGTAAATTAATTATATTGATAATCTCACAGTAATTAACAGTTTTCTTCATAGTTCATATAAAATATTATCAACCTTAATAAATACATCAAAATGTATACATTATATTTATACTTATTTCAATTTAAAATCAAACATGCAATTGCCTTTAGACTACCGACTGCGTTTTTTAATAACCAAAAGGTTTTGTATCAACTATTATTTATTTAAAATTGATTAATCGCTTAATTTTATAGATAAATTACTTTACAGTTCAATTTATTGTCGACTAAAACATAAATAATAATAGTAATAGTATTTTTAGAGACAATTTTAAATAACACTTTGAACACATATTTAATTTAATCAACACAACAACTATACAAATATCATGATCAATAAATTTAGAACAGATATTAGTTTTATATTTTAAAAAATAAATAAGCTACAAATAACTGTTGTTTTAAACAAATGACACATTTTTAAATCTTAAGAATAAATGTGTAATTAACATATAATGAACTACAAAAAAATTCATAAAATTTACATGGACACAAATCAAATAGAATTATAATACATTCATTATTATTAAAACTTGGCAAAAGACATTTTACATTATACAACTGATATGTACAACTCATATAAGTTTATTTCAAACAAATAATTTACTAAAGTTATATTTTATACATGTAAACAATCAAATACATATTATTGTTAATTATCCAAAAATTCTTTTTCTAAAGCAGCGCCTAACATATTCCATTCATTTAACTCATCGGGTGGATCTACACTATTTTCACTGTTATTACCCCAATCTAAACCCAATTCCTCTAAATTTCTACCTTGGCGAAATTGTTCATTTAATGTTTCATCTTCATTATCTGTTGGATCTGAATTTGTTTCTTCCGATGAACTATGTCGACGTTTGTGTCCTCTACTAGAACCTAGAACAAAACAATTATAAGATTACATAATATACAGTGGTAAATACAAATTTATAAAAATTATCAAATTATCAAGTATCTTATCAAACATATATTACAAGTTATATTATGTATAATTAATTATTTATTAATATTCATTATAATTTATATTAATAAAAATAATAATTATAAACAGCTAAATATTTGATACATGGAGCTTAGTTTTATTTTCTGACAAATACAAAATGTTACTTATTAAGAAAATATTAACAATATTATATAGGTTAATGATAAAAAAAATCTTATATAATAAATTAAATAATTAGGCATATTATGATTGAAACTATCATTATCTGATGTACAGCAGCTGAGCGATCAACATATTTCTATTGTTGTTAATTTTGTTACTTGTTACTGTCTACTTAGTGTTTAGCTATTTCCTATTATACACTATTATGGACAACTCTAACACATAAAAAATACATTTAAATTACAAAGAATTTTAAAAATTATTATTTAATTATAAAATTTTTTTTTATTATAATGATTTTATGAATAGGTTTCTCTGTAGAAGGAGATCAGAATACTACCATGGTTAATAAGCCAGACGTAAAAGACGATTAATGAGATTACGTCAGGTAAACAACCAGTGTAAAAATGTTGTCAAACTGTATGAAGAGTCCAAATCAAAACTTGGGCGGCTTGTCCATCTCAGATGTGTGCGGGACAACATGTGAAAGGAAATATCATAGTTAGAGGGGGCCTAAACGATGAAGTGTATGATATGGACAGCCAGTGTGGTAGCTGTTTCACCAGTTATGTGTTCAGGTATACCAAACACGGAAAATGTCAACGATGTAGGGTCATCACATTACCATTGCGCCCGAATTAAATCTGCGTTTAGATATGAGAGATAGGTATAAAGTGAAAATAGGCACGTGGAATGTTAACATAATATTTAACGGCAGAAGTAGAGAATTAGCAAAAGTATTGAAAAGGAGGAAAGTTAATTTTTGTTGTGTTAAGGAAATTAAGAGGAAAGGAGAAAAAGTAAAGAAATAGGAGAGGGTTATAAAGTAATATATTCAGGTACGACTAGTACTAGGAATGGGGTTAAAGTAATACTGGATGAGGAAATGAAAAGTAAGTTAGTTGATGTAGAAAGAAAAAGTGATAGAATTACTACGGTAAAATGGGTATTTGAGGAAAAAGTATTAAACGTTATAGGTGTGTATGCACCACAAGTAGGATGTGAAGAAAAGGAAAAGGAAGATTTTACCGAGAGATTGATGGGGTGATCCTAGGAATACCAGGAAATAAAGATACTATTATTGGTGGTGATATGAATAAACGTGTAGATAGTGAGATGGTAAAGTATGAAAGAGGAGTTCATGGAGGATATAGCGAGAGTAATGATGCTAGAATTTTCGATTTTGCATCATTGTATGAGCTTGCAATAATCAATACATATTTTAGGAAAATAGAAGAGCATTATATAACATATAAGAGTGAAAGAAATAGGTCGCAGATTGATTATTTTATATAGAAAAAAGACAGCATAAAAAAAGTAAAAGATAGTAAAATAATTCCTAGAGAATGTAGTAACACAACATAGGTTGATGATAATGGAGGTATGGTGTTGTGGAAAGAAGGTGAGTATAATAAGTATAAAAAGGAAAACCGGAAAGGAGTTGAAAATTTGATGGTGTAAATTAATAGGAAACAAAGAAAAGGCGTTCATAAAGAAAGTAAAAGAAAAAGCTGTGAGGAATGTTGAGGGAAATATAAATGAGGTTTGGAAAATAATGGCAACTTGTGTTAAGAATATAGCAAAAGAGATTATTAGTGAAACCAATAGTAATATGCCAAAAAACAAGGAAATGTGGTGGTGGGATGAGGAGATCCAGAGTAGTATCAAGTAAGAAATAGCAATTTAAGTTATGGCATAAAAGCAAGAGAAAAGAATGGATAGAACAAGGCGTATTTGAGGGGGGAGCGCAGGGGGCATTCGCTCCTCCCATGGCTTATATTTTTTTTGAATATAATACATTGATTTATTTAAAAAATGTAATGTGTAAATAATTAAAAATATAAATTACTAGTCTATCATTAAGTAAAATTTTTTTTTACCACATATTTACTAGTTAATCATTTTTTGGTGCATTTATGCATATTGTATATTTTTGTATTTATTAGAGCTATATAAGTCCTTAATAATTTTACTTGCCTATTTTTTTTTTTTACAACATAATATCTGGTATTTTTTGTTGTGCATAGGTATTTAATCATTCTTTTTAGCACAAATGCATGCATATTTATATTATTTTATTTGTGTAATTAACCATTTATATATAAATTGTAACATTTAAACCTAAACAAATTAAATCTATCATTTAAATTTTAAAAAAAGTAACCTACATCAAATGTCAGATGTGTTGATACTATCTAAATTAGTACTTAATTAAGATTCATAAATTTTCTCTACTTGTTAAATGGTTTTGCATATTAACAAAATCATTTTATTATCATAAAACAATTTAACAATTCAGATTAATTTGTCATAAATTAACAAATTTGCTACAATTTCTATATTTATTTGCTCAAAAACTATTTGAAACTCATAAGAAAAGAAACATCACCATTTGAAATATTTCAGAAATCAGTTTTTCATTTCAGAAATCCTGTCTAATAATGACACAGAAATAGATAAACATTTTCATCAGTCAATTATACTATAACTAATACTTTTTTTACTATCAAATTTTTAGTATATTGAGTCATAAATGGTTATAATTAGGGCTGGAAATTTAATGCTCTAAAAATAGTAAAAAATGCTCTAAAAAATAAGCAAAAATGCTTTAAAAATTATAAAAAAATGTTCTAGAAAAATACATTAAAAATTTATTTACTATAGTTTAAAAAAGATATTATAAAAATCATATTACCAAATTAATTATATTTATTTAACATAATCACAATAAAATATAAATCTTTTTATTTAAAATTTACATTTTATTTAATTTTATTAAATTTGATTGTAGTTGGACTCTTGCAAATAAAAAAATTTCTTTCAAATATTTTAATTTTGTTCTGATTTTTATCAAATTTATTAATATTTATTAGTTTATCAATTAAGTACCTATATTACACGTACAAGTTTTAAACGAACAAACGCCAAAATGTGTGATTAAATACCTTAATATTTAAGAATTAGAATAGATAAATTCTGGAAAATGCTCTAAAAACTTGAAAATTGCCATAAAAATAGTAAAATATGTATATACTAAAAATGCATATAGAGTTAAATTCATCATAAAATGCAAATAAAAACTACATTAAAGTAATCAGTATCATTTGAAACACATTGTCTACTAAGGACCTACGTATTGAGACATTTTTAAAAAAAGATGCTTTTGCATCAAAATCCCAGCCCTAGTTATAAGATTTCATATTAAATCATAGAAAAAATAATGAAATAAATAAAATTAACCTCCCATACAGAGATGAAATCAATTATGATACTCTAGAACCTATATGCTTTTCTTTTCTTCCAAAACTTAATAATGTTAATTGATTCTATGAATTAGCATCATATTTTGTCATCAAATTGTTAAGTAAATTAATTAAACTTAATGTTTAAGAACCTTGAAATTAAAATGTTTACTTTTTTTTTTGCTTTTTTTTTTGCTATTGTAAAAAAAGAGATAAATTTCACTACAACCTACTAAAAAAAATATAATTATTCTATTATGTACTACAAGTAAAAAATTTAAACAATACAACTCTTACCAGCTAAAGATTCTTCAGAACTTGAATTGCCATCTTTATCTTTTTTTGAAGTTTCATCTGCATTATTTTCATCATCACCATCACAACTGTCTTCATCATCAGTCATGTCTTCTACTTCTCCAGCCATACGTTTAATGTCTTCATCAGTAAAAGAAAGTAATGGGTTAAGTGTATCTGAGAATTTATTCTGTTCTTTAATACTAGAATTCAAGTTATTGGATATTGGAGATGGGGGTGAATGTTCTGGACTACTACAATGTGCAGGTGGATCACGATTAGAAGAATCACCACAACCAGATCGAAGAGGAAATAACTTTTCCTCGACATGTTCCCAACGTTCGGCACAAAGCCACAACCATTCAGGAGTCACTGTTATTATATCAGGACGTTTACGAGCTGCAATAGCTTTAAGCGTTCCTTGCCTAACAGCAACTAAATGAGTTGTATCTGGTTCAATATTCTCTGTAACTTCTGAGCCTAATAACCGAGCAACTTTATAAGCTCGACTTTCAGTTAGTGGTACAGGAGTAGGTACTAAACCGCTAAACACCAATTTTTTGCCAGCTAATATTTTAGAACGGTATGTTGGTATAATACGTTTCATATCAGGAACTTCAACATCATTTCCATATAATTTACATTTTTGATCATATTCTGCAAAATATTCCTTGTGCAATTTCTTTAAAATATCTTCTAAATACAATAAATAATCATCTTCTTCCTCGACTTCTATTTGTTTATCAATTTCATTTTCTTTAACTACCACATCTTTTTTAACTTTTTTTTCATTATCAGGTGAATCATCATCAGACAAGACTTCTCCATCTTCTATTTGAACATTATCATTAATTTTGTTCTTTTTTTTTACAGTTATACCTGTTTTAATTAGAATTCAATAATTATTATTTACTACAAAAAGCAATATTAAACAAAATTTAGTAAATGTAAAAATATTTTTTTTTATAAGTAAAAAACAAAAGAAAATTTACCTTGAACCAAGTGAGTAAAATCTATTTTATTGTCTTGTTGAGAAGAATCATCACAATTTTTTTGTAAATTAGGTGGAGCATTGATATCACCAGTATGTTGAAAAAAATGATATGGCTTGACATGTATTAAATTTAATGCATACTCCCAAACATCTTCACGGTCATCGATAATACAAACCATATTATCACCACATGGGAATAAGCCCCTAAAATAAACATATTAATATTATTTTAAATAAAACAAATTAAAACGATTAAAATTAAAACTTAAAATAATAATTTAAAATTATGTATTAATACAAAAAAGAATACAATTAATTTTATATTTTTAATATTTTAGATTAAAAACAGTAAAGTTAAAAAGTAAAACTTGAAGTAAAGTTTTCAATAGAACGTAAAACCAGAAGAAAAAAAATTAGATAAACAAGGTTAGGTTAGGTTTTTATATTTTTAAAAATTAACGGTTGATTAATATTAAACAATTATTATACAATAATATGTTATTATTATATTTGCACAATAACTATACAATATACAACTATTAAAGTATGACTAATTCAAATTTAGGATATTCATAAAAATAAAGACATATACCTAATATTTTAATTTTTATCGATAACAGATTTGCATCTAAAAACAATTACAATGATAATAAAGTAAGAATTAAATATACTTATTGCTTTTATTATTAAAGTGATTAAAAAGAAAAAAGAATAGAAAAAAATATTCAAAATTATATAATAGTTTTGAGTTATTTTAATTAGTCAAAGTAATAAATATTTATTGACATAAGAACCAATTATAAAAAATTTAAAAAAATATTAACATACTTGAGATTTCCTGTTTTACTATTTGGATTGAAACACTCATCTCTAGATAAAACTCTATGAGAAAAAAGTTTTCCTTTTGGATCCAATATATGAGTTATAGTATGGGCATAGTTTCGTGCACCAAAAGTACATATATGGAGTTCATACAACTCACTTATAGAAGACAAAAATTTATATGTACCTGGTCTAAGTCTAGTATGATACCAAGGTGAATTAGGTCCATACAGTTGAAAATGGTAAACATCCTATAAAAATAAAATATGCATAAATATTTTGAAATTTACATAAACACTTGAAAAACCATACTTTGATATTATTAGGTATATTATCATTTGTCGTGTGTATGATTGTTTGATCTAAATCTACTAGTAACACTAGTTTTCTATCACTTAGCAATCGTTTTTCATCAGCTTTTCCCAATAAAAATGCACTCTACACCATTTATACCATAAATCAAAATTAATATTAATTCTTATATTTTAAGAGAAAATAATACTTACCTGTTCACTGACTTTCAGATCGGGCACACTGTGTATCATAGAAACTGATGCAGTTGGTTTAGATGCATTATCGATTCTTAAATCAGCACCACAATCTGCACACAAATCACTGACTACAGTACTGTGGCTGCATCCCGGTTCTAATTCAAACACTGGGCTTCTAAAATAAGTAATGAATATTAACAAATCAATTATATGTCAATAATTGTAATAAAAATGTATGATTTTTAAGAAAAACAATAAATAAGTAAACTACAATTTTTTTTAAAAGTTATCATACCCAACTGGAATTTCTTGACCTTCGTGTATTAAAATTTTTTTAACAACACCAATATGATTAGTGCGAAAACTCTTTCGATCTTTTTCTCCGTCCTCCTGATAAAGAAGCACAACAACGGTACTGTTGACCAAAGTACCTTCTTTCACTCGCCATTTTACAAGTGTTGCCTTTTTATCGGTTGTTGGCAAATTTACAAAGATAGTCTCTGAATTGGTCTCCATGAATTTGTCACATTCAAACACTATAAAACAAACATGTCTAAATGAAACAATTGATAGCGATCGATCGAAAATGAACGTGTAGTCGATAAAAATATAAATTGAAATAAGATACACATACAGTGATCTAAGATAACACGTTGATAAATTTTCAGATCAGAATCATTTACGTTTTTTAGAGCATACAAATATTGAACAATTTCAAATAAACTAAAAACAAGATTTAACAGTTATGATAAGCGTTGGAAAATTCAAATGTGTAATCGTAAAGCAATGAAAATATTGTTTTGTATCAATCCCACTCCCGAGCCCGTTCGTGATAATAGTAACACACGTAGTGGTATTTTGATACACAGCAGAACATAAAAAATACAATAAAATGACAACGATGCTCACCATTGTAAAAACATTATACATCGACCAATTCGTATGCATTCGCATGGTTTATATGATCCACCTTGTAGAATTCGATCTCTTGTTTTTATTTGAAATCGGTATGAATTACAATCAAATAAATAATAGATTATTATAAACTTTAGGATTTGTTATTTTTCTCCATTTTTTTTTTTATATTTTTTTATTGCACAATATGTAAATCAATATCATTAATACGAATGAAAAATACAATTTTAAATGTACATACCTATTTGCTGTAATGTTTATGACAAAGACAAAATAAAAAATATAAAATAAATGTATGAACACAACTAGATGAATCGCTAAATGCAGAAAGGACACATGTCCAAGTTTTACATTTTTTCAGGAAACACAAAAAACTTAATATATTTGAAAAAAATTGAATTACAAATTGTATGTTATAGAATAATATAGTTAAAGACATGGTATACATATTTCTACAATCACTTAAAGAAATATAATCTAACTGTAGGTATCTGAAGGACTTTAAGGTTGTGGACATGTGCCGTTTATGCTTCAAATTACCATTTATATTTCGAAAATAACCGTTTTCTTATAAATAAGTAGCTTTAATATGCATAAAAGTTAAATTGACATGATTAAATAATATACAGTAGATTATATACTAATATTGAGTCAAAAATATTTGATATATTTTTAATAATTAGAAATTTAATTATATAAATATTTATGTTCTATTTTGCCTTGCTTGAGGTTAGTAACAGTCTTAGTTTGTAACGAAAATATATAATTCCAAAATGATTGCAATGCTGGCTCCGGAATATATTTCGCTAGTTGCTTCAAATCTTTCATTTTGCTTTCAAGAATTGGTAAGCTTGAAGTATAAACTAGTGTTTTTGGGAGTTGTATGGGCATTGCATTGTTTTTTCTCAATTTGAAATGGTTTGATATTATTCCGTCAATAAATTCACTTGCCTCAATTATTCCACATTTTTCCGATACACATTCAAAATAATGGTACTTAGAAATTAAAAATTTTTCTATTGTACGACGTTGTTTCAATGTTTTATTACGGCTTAAACATTCTAATGCGTTAGTATTTTTATTATAAGATTGTGGAAACCACATTTGATAGTCATAAATCATACTTTTATCAACTAGAAACACTGAAAATTTTTCTGGGTTTCTTGATGATTTTAAAATAAGTTCTATACAGTCTTCTAAAGTGTATAGACGATCCACTCTGTTCAGTTGTTTTTTTATCAATGCAAAGTCACGATCACACGGCAAAAACGAGTGTCCTCTTTGTGGAAAAAATACCTGAACTTTTTTTAATTTTTTAATTTCAACTAGAGCCATAATCATTCTGAGTAATGCATGGTTTTTGTTTTGCCCAGCACAATTGTCACAAAACAAATGCAATTCCTCAACATTATCATCAACAAAATTATTAATATAGTGAACCAAAAAAGAGCATACATCATTTGGCGTTTTTCTTGCTGTTGCCTCATGATAAACATAACAAAATAAATTATTCGTATTTAAATTATGAATACCAAAAGTATTGACAGATAATTGACGATAATAATATACTTCCTGCACCGGTATTTTAGGTAAGTCAACTACAGCCATAAAATCAAAGCAAAGACCTAACACTTTTTTATTCTGTTGAGAAATCTCTATTGTTTTTTTAATATTATTATAAAATTTTTTGCTTCTACGTTTATGAACTAGTAATTCCGCAGCAGCAACTCTTTTTGCAACATCATTTAAATCTTTACTCATTATTTTTGTATTTAATTCTTCGCATTTTGAACAAGCATCTTTGACTGAAGCACCAAAGCTTAATGAAAAATTATTCTTAAAATACTCCCAATAATATTGATATTTTATTTTCCCTTCTAATTCTGGATACTTTTCTAAAAACATTGTGTGCATAGTTTTAACACTTAATTTAGGGTTCAGATAATTTTTCAATCGTGTTGTGTAATGAGTATCTTTAGTTGGAAAACTCAGTATATGTTCATGTATTTTTTGACAATACTCATATGGCATAGTATTAGCACTAATATTTTTGCTTCTCATATCAACTGGGGTAATAATATTTTCTAACAAATCGACCAGCCGTCTAATTTTTTTAATAGAAATATTATAAACGTTAATGAAAGCTTTCTTACATACTTGAATACGCTGTCCATCTACTATTAAAAAATACTGAACACTTTTGGATTTCGGTTTTTCTTTTCCTTCTTCTGTTTCTATTCGTTTTCGTTTTCTTGTAATTTCTTTTATTTCTATTGTTCGTTGAAGATGAAGGTCTTGTTCATTTTTAGAATGCATTTCATAAAACATTTTCATTGTATTTTCAAGTTTTTCTTGTTGAATGTCTTTGAGACATTTTTTTGAACAACTTTAAATCGAAAATATTATTGTAAAAATATAAAAGCTACTACTTATTAATAACGAATAAAACAAACTAAATATTATATAATTACCATTCTTTAAGTATTAATGAAGGATCATTCTTTGTAGCAACTATTTTTCCAATCCAGTTTGTATGTTTTTTCCCTTCGATTTTTGCTTGCTTAATAATATTTCTTTTATATTTATCACTGTTAGAAACACCTTTTTTTCTTTTGAGAGGACTAACACATTCGTCGCCTGAACTCATATTTTAAAGTTATACACGTTATGATCGTACAAGATCGTACCAGTACAATATTTATTTTATTCACTGATAATCATTTTATTTTATAATTAGGTAAAGCAACGTTTTCCCATTATAATCTTTATTTACTGATAAACAATTATAAAAAATTAAATTTATAAATAGAACAATATTTCATGTCATACAATAAAGTAATTTCACGAAGTTTAGGCCTGATAATATTACTAAAGTATAATTTTGATGCAAAAAGGTTACATGTCCAGGACATGTGCCTTTTCTGCAATTAACGAAATTTTAAATTATTTTTAACGGGGATCTATTTAATAGGATATGTGCCTTGTCTGCACAAAACCATGTATTTATCAATATTAAATTGGATTATGCAATAAAGTGATTTTTGTAAAATATTGGACATGTGCCCTTTCTGCATTTAGCGATTCAGATAAGACTTAACCAGCAAAGTTTTTCGAACATAATTTAATACTCGTAAATAGCGGAAAATTAATTTTTAAAAATTTTAGAATTTTCCTTAAAGCTATAGTATTTCATATTCCGAACAATGTAATTACTAACCGTAAGCTGTAAAGTAATAGCAATTGTCAATTGGTACGTTTTGATGTGTAATCGTATTTTATTGTGATATTGTTGCGATGCACTGTTGTTGAATTTTCTAATAAGCATTAGTAAAAATCAAATACCCAACAATTAATATTCAATTTTTTTCAGTAAAAATAAAAATATTAATTATGTTTTTAGCAACTTTAATTTAATATATCAGAAAAACAAATTAAATTATCGACAATACGATTACATTAGAAACTGTTTAAGATTAAATAAACAGTCTTTTAGTTTTTAATTATAATATTAAGTGCTCAAATTCTCAAAATCATATACTATAATATATATGAAAATATATGGTTTTTTAGGGTTGTTTATATGTCTTTGTTATAAAAAGGGGGTAGTTTTTTTTATTTTCTCGGTAGAAACTCCTAACCCAGTCCCGGCCCTGTACCTACGTTATAGGTTCGGAGAAGAAAAAAATTATTGGTTGTTATATAATTAATAAAATATATTTTGAAATCGTATAAATAACAAAGATAGATTATCAAAATGAAAATCATAATTTCTTTTATTTAATCGCCAGATTTACAACTTATTATTTTGTTAAATGGTAAATGCAGTCTTCGTTCAACGTTTGCACCATAGACAAAGCGCACCATGCATAATAGAACCAAGCATTTTTGTTAACAATTTATAATTCAACCAGTCCAGACTGTCTATGAAATCAAAAATTTGTAAAAGTACATTTAATTTTTTTCCTAATAAATTCATAATTTTTTCAAGTTAAATTTTTTGATTTTTCGTGCTATTTGTAGCGCATATTTTAGAATTTTTAAGTGCATAAAAAGTATCATTTTTAGTGCTACAAATTCTGAGCCCTGCTTATGACAAATACGGCATCAACGACGAGTAGTACGGCGAGTTGTATGAATGTGTGATATATCGCCAAGCCCGGATTATGATAATTTGAAGATCGGGGCCAAACATTTTTAGGGGTCCATAGCTATAATCAAAATATTGAAAACCCACACATAAATATATTTTAGAGATAAAAAAAATTATATTCTAATTTATAAATTTATTTCTTGCTTTTTTTAATACAAAAAAATAAAAATGTTATTTATATAAATAATTTTTTCTTTCTTTTTGGGAAACAAACCCTTTAATTATATCATTGGTATAATTACCTCTCAAACATTTCTCTCTGAACACAAAACCATAAACCTAGGTACATACTATTTTATTTTTGTTTTTTATAAGAACTAAAAAAGATTTAAAAAAACGAAAATAATCTACTAACCTACTATAGTGGGCCCGGGGCCATGGCCTCCTCTGCTCACCCCTCCTTATTCCTTGGTCGCGTATTACGAGTTCGTACAACTGGCAATGCTCCACTTGAGTGGGGACGCAGGGGGACGGAGTACCCCAATTAATTTTCAGAAATTTTAGCGTCCCCCTACTATTATTACGCTATAATCATAACGCTCAGCCAGTTTTGAGGACGTTCTTTTTTTTTTAAAGTAAATAGAGTTCCCCTTCTTTAATTTTGCCAAGTCGAGCACTGACAACTGGTGTACGATTATTTGTACCATGTATAGCACGCTTTAAAAACTGATCTATATAGGTAATTAAAATATATATGTATACACATACATAAATACATATCTGAGGCTTTATATAAACTTAATACTTATTATTATTAATTATTACTTATCCTTAGTTCTTAGTTCGCATAATTTCGGTTTTTGTTTTTACCGCGTATTCGTGTCTCTTCAACGCGATTGGTCCAAACAAGTCAATATTTCCTGTGATTCGTTATAACGCACGCGATTCGCCACACCGTCTTATCATCGACGCACATTTTATCCGTTTCAAAAACAATTGTTCAAAATTTCATATTATCTTCTTTAGGATAGAATTGTTTTCATTGTATGCTTATGTATCGATTGGAATTGTTTTAATACAGTTACGTGTAGAATTGTTCTAATCTATCATGGAAGTGGATGAAGACATTAGTGTAATAGAATCGAGTAAGTCTATAAAGTGTATAGTATAAATATTACGCTATAACTTGATATATTTTATGTTAAATCTACGAACAACTTTGATAATTGTTATATATTATATTTATGTATTTTGGTGAAATTAATTTTGGTACATTTTTATAATGGGATATCCATATTGCAATCGGTGGCGTATCCAGGATTCATTTAACGGGGATGTTTTAAAATTTAATAAACTTACAGTAAGTAGGTGGCTCTGCCCCCTCCCGTACTACATCAATAGATACCATGTATTTATATAAATTATTATATAAATGAAAATGATTATATTAAGACGGTATAAGTAAAATCTACAAGTTGTATACAACGTTTATTCAAATTATACTGTAAGTTTGCAATTTGGTAAAATACGATAAAATACTATTAGTGGGGGTGTTTTAACACCCATATCACTCCTCCCTTAAATATGCCCTTGATTGCAATTACTATTTATTAATTAGAAGGATGTTTTGTGAATTCATATATATTATTAATATTATGTGTAAATATTATCATGGCTAAATCAAATTCTAAAATAGCCCCAGAAGTTTTAGTTGTAAAGCACCAAATTACCAAATAATAAGTGGATATGTTAACACTTTTTATTCATTATATAATAAATGTAATAAAAACTACAATTTGACTTTGGTTATACATAACTCCATTTCCCATATGGATTATTTGTGTATATTAGTGATAAACACTTTCTATTCCTATTTATCGGAGTACATTGTATTTATAATAGCAAACATACAGTCTACAAATTACAATAACAAGACAATATATGATGCTGAATGCTATATACAATTAAATTCAAAGTTTTAATTTTTTATTTTCAATTTAAATTAAAAATTCAATGTTTTTAAATTATTTAAATTATATAACTCAACAAGACACAGAAATTATTTTGAAACCTTAAATTTTATTTATAAAAATAATCTACAAGATATTTATCCTAATTTTTAATAGCATATTAAATATTTTTAACCTCACCTGTGGCAGTACCATATTGCAAACAAAGTTTTAGGTAGTTAAAACTAATCAAATCCTATCTTAGATTTTCAACCAATCAAAACAAACTCAATCATCTTTCAATTATTTTAATCCAAAATCAAGTGTCCAAAAATGTTGATTATGACGATATAAACAATTTTGCGCCAAAAAAATCAAAATTAAATGATAATTTGTTATATGTACTCAATTTAATTAAAATACTATTAGTCAATAGCCAATTTATTAAAAATTATTTTTATATCTGAGCTAACTTAGTTGGTAAGCCTATTCTCAATTTTTTAGAATTTTCTAAAATTAATTTAAATAACTATGTTAAACATTTTATATTGTAAAATGTACATGTCAAGCAATAATTTTTATTTTAAAAATGTTATTTAATACATATTTTTCTTAATCAAGAATTTATGTTTCTTTTGTCTTTTTCCATTTTTTGAGAGCAATTGGAACAAAAGTAGAACAATAAAGGGGACTGAATTATGAGAAAGCACTAATTTTATAATTTTCCCCGGGTAAAAAATATGCTGAACTTGACCCTGTGTATTATTATATGCATATACATTTTATATTTCATTAAATTAAATTAATTTTTTTTTTATCTTATTTTATGTACTTACTATTTTCATTATTTTTGTTTAGATGTATCAGAAGATTGCCCTGAGGCATTTGGAGATATATCATGTATCACTACAGGTAAGCTACTATCAGGGCTATTATTACGGCTTTTTATTTATAATTTATATTATGGATTTGTTTACTATAGTAAATTGATAATTTTGAATTAATTATCAATTTTAAAAAATATTCTATCATTCTTGCGCAAAATGATTTACTAATTTAACTAGTGTAACTAATTTTTTAATTTTATTATTGTAGATGGAAATCATGTGATAAAAGAAATTGGTTCTGATGTATCTGACCAGGAAGGCTTGTATTTTTTATATTAATTAAGTATCTAAACCTTAATTTTTTATTAACTAATTAAAACTACATATTTTTTCTACAAAAAATAAATTAGATTGTTATTTAATTATTGATAAATAATTAATTTAAAAATTTAAGCATATAACCAAAATATTTAAAAATATTAATTTATCTAATTAGTTGACTATAAATTTTATTAAATCATTAAATATCAGTCTTCAAAAACTAAAGAATAAATTAAATTCATAAACATTTTATACATACACATAACAATGGCATTAATTTATATTAATGATACTTCATGAATTATTTTATTTTATAAAATGTTTTCTATAATACTTCTTATTTAATAATAAATTATAACAATACTGGATTTTAAAGTATGCTAAATTTAAAGAAATTTTGTTTGGAATTTATTTGGGATTTCAATAATTATTTGATGTATTCTTAAACATTTGATTAAATTAATTTGATTGATTTAATTGATTTAAATTTAAATTGATTAATATTGAATATTATAGTTTTGAACATAGCAAAATTAATAGTAAGAAAAAATAATATATTCTTTAATACGATTATAATTTTACCATGGCTTAATTCACTAATATATACTTAAATAGTATCAGAATATAAAAAAAAGTATTACATTTATTTAAGACTGTTAAAAATATAAATATAGTAAAGAAATTAATTATTCATTGTATATAAGTTTTTAAGAATTAAAATGACTAAACAAAAATCCATATTTATTTATAGCAAAGTTTTTAGAAAAATATCTGAGTATTTACTAACTATACATAAAAATTTGGCAATAATGTAAAGAAAATAGTTATATAAGGCTATTAAATACTAAAAATAATGTTAGTTAAAAAAAATGTCATATTATTTATATTCTTTATTTTAAATAAAATTTGTATTAAACCATTTTATTTTTAATTTCTTATGAAATAAAGAATATTTAACATAATGTCATAATTAATATTTTACTTACCATTGCAGTCTCAATATTAGCATCATCTAAAGATTATACATCTTATAATACAACTGATCTTATGGAAATATCTGATGTACTCGGTAAGCTACTAATATTGATTAAATATTATTCTAATAATATTATAAGATTTGATTTATTGAAGTGAAATATATATATACTTCCTAATGTTAAAAGATGCAGGATTTTATTAAATGATATTTTAACTATCTTAAGAAAATAACGCTTATTAATTGTATCATCCTTATACCTAATACCTCAACAAAACTATAAATTACCTATGATTTATGTGTAATTACTGAGATATATAATTTATTTTAGGCCTTGTTGGTAAAAAATGGTCAATATATCGTGTATCTCCATTGTGGAATTTACAATTTAAAGCAAAATATTTAAAATCCATTTCCGAGCAGTTGAAAGATTATATAACCTCAAATTTAAAAAAACATAAACAAGTCCACTCATTTTCAAACATTTCTGTGGAAATCGAAGCAAAAGAAGTTCATGATGAATGTATAGCATTAAAGGTGATAAAATAATATAATTGTTGCAAAACTCTAAAAAATTGGTTTTTCTAACAATTGCAATTAATGAAAAATTAGATTATTTAACATTCTTTCAATATTTTCTTTATAGTTTAAAACAAATGAAAATAACTTAAAACTAAAACATTTTAATGTAATGATGAAAGCAAATAAATTATTCAATGAAATAGATTAATATTACTAAAAAAAATAAATATGTTTTGTACCATATATTTCATTAATCTACATAAATTTTTAAAAAAAATTTTTGATTTATAAAAAATATTAATTTCAATCTTAATTTCTTTGGTAAGTTTGTTATATTTTACAATTTTAAGATAAAATTTAACATACACCAATCGTTGATTATGAACTTGAATAACAATATTTTTTACAGATTCAAGTCATTTATCTAGAATCAAATATTCTTCTTTATACTGGTGTATTATTAAAATCACCAAATTATAGTGAAAAATATAATATGACTAAACTCTCAGAAATGCCTGTATTAATGGTTCAAGGAAATACTTCATTTATATTAGCTGTACATGAGTGGTTAGCTGAACATTTTGATTGCATAATTCGGCCATATGAATTTGCCAATTATCAAGTTCTGTGGCTCATTGCTATATCAATGGCCGATGCAGGAACCTCATACAATAATACTGTTTCATACCATTATCTCTTTAAATATGAACTGTCAAAAGGTAAAATGGATGTAAAATGTTCTGTTGAATCAGAGTTCCTTCGTTCAACTTTATCCAAGTTAGTAATTAAAAATTATAGAAATGTATCACAATATTTTTTTTTATTCAAATCAATATAAGATTATGTTTGTAAAATAAATACAAAAACTGAACTATTTTAATTATATTTCCATAATATTTAAAATATATATATATATATATAATGTTACAAAATTTAAATTCACAGAATATCTTTAATTCAATCATTAACTTCGGAAGAAAATTCGTTCCATTATTCACATTTAATTAAAATTCATGCTGAAATTGAAGATCATTTTAAAATGACAAGTGGAATAAATGTCTCAAAATTAAAATTAATTGCATTTGAAGCTCCAAAAGTTGTGTCGATTAATGTTTCTGGAAAAGTAAGTTAATTTATTTATTAAATTAATACTAACTCATTCTTTAAAAATTTATTTTAGATTCGCGCAGAGTCATCCACTTTAATGGATTTGATAATGAATTACATTATGGAACTTGTAAACAAATCTTTGTAACATCGTTTTTTCTTCTATATTTTTTATGTTGTTATCATTTTACTTGGTAAATAAATAGATTTTTTTTTTTTTATGAATATTTATAAATTATATTTTACTATGTATATTAAATTAAAATATTCATAATAGAATTTATATACTTCTTATACAACAAAAATGTCTGCATTATGTAAATTTTCTACCCTACTAATGCTGCTATGAACAATTTATTATTTTATAGTAGTTGAAATGCACTATTTCATCTTACCACTCTTACAGTTAAAATGATTACGGTGTTGGTATTTTATAAAACTTCTCTGTTAAATAGTTACTTTTAATAATACATTTTTTCATATCTATTTAATTTTTATATATTTTCATTAAACCATTAATAAGAGACATTAATTAGACCATTAATAAGTTCATTAGACCTATAATAAGTTAGTATTCTTATTTAAGGTTATTTACTAAAACATTACTGATATCTTATGTAATTTACCAAAATATATTCTTCCTAATTTATAAAAAATGTATTCTCACCATAGCTCATTGAAATTAATGCAGTAGATTAACATTTATGCAATGATTATAGCTTGATGTCAAGAACTTATTTTTATTTTACCTTATTCAAGCCTAAGAAAAATTCAATAAAATGTGTTATTAAAAAAATACTTGTATTTTATTAAATATTTTTCAAGTTGAAACAAAGGTTCCTTCAGAACTTGAAATAGAAAATTTAGACCCATTATGGACAAACTGCACAATATAACATATATATTATTTCTTATAAAATTATTTGAAATTTTCACCTAGTAATTATAATATAAATATTATATTTAATATTATATTATTTATATTATATAATAATAATTGAATTGGTTGAATTAAAATTTATTGTATATCAATTGTGTAAAGTTAACAATATTCCTAATTTAACCCTCCACAGATGGGCATGTAAAATATGCTGATTCAAATTTTTTTTTTTAATAGGAAATTTGACTAAAATTATAAAATTGATATAAATTTAATCTATAGAACTTGTCTAATGTAAATATGTACTATTTGTTTAGTTGTATATAAAATTCATGAAAAAAACTTATCCTTATCTTGTTTATAATATGATAATACCTTAAAATGGTGAACAAAGGAAATAATTAACATATGTGGTTTATTTTTAGGCTTAAAATTAATACTTGAAAATATAACAATGTATTATTATATTAATTTATTATTGACATTAACCAAAGTATCATAGAGATAAGATTAATAGAGTCCAATATGAACATCGATCAAATAAATAATATAAGGCATAATAAATTATAAGATCTATGAAAATTATATGATTAACGATATAATATTAAATATTTACACCAATAGTGTTTCTAAAATAATTATGGTTTTATAAGTACTAAAACCAAAGTAATAATAATGCGTTCAGTAACAAATGAATATAAATCAATTTTTAAACAGTGTTTAAGTAATATAATTGAGTGGTCTTGATTCAATTCCCAGTTGAAATTAAGTATGGCAAGAAAAAATAAGTTCTAAACTAAAATATCATACAACTTGTCATGTTGAAAATATGAGTTAAAAAAAAGATATCTTTAAAATATTCAAATTGATTTACAGTACATTGTAATATGTTTCATTACTAATACATTTTAATACTGATCGCATATTATATAGATTATAAATATAATAAACAATAAAAATTCTAACAAACAAAACTTTTAGGAATAACTTAAATTCCTATACCTAAGGATAAACACAAAATAATATTAGATGTAAAGTGTATAAGATTTTTTTTTTTAATATTGGTTTAAAGATTAATACATGTATGACTTAAAATATTTTTACAACTAGACCAGCATCGTAAAATTATGTTATTTTACTTTCAACATTAATTTCAGTGATGTAATAACATAAGGTCTATTAATGAATATTGAATATAATTCACTCAAAAAAAAAAAAAAAAATGAAGAAGTATAACCCAAATTTTAAGCAAATATAGAAATTGCATTAAGATAGTAGTAAGTGGACCTTTGAAAAACTAGTTAACAACAACCATTTCCACTGGATCGATTATTACCACCAGGTATACTGCTGTTACCAGTCGAATGTTGAGGTCCAATTTTAATACCATTTGCCTAAGAATAATAGAAATTGATAATTTTTCCTGCATATAAAATTATAATTAATTAACTAACCTCATTATTAATATCAAACACTCCTTCTTGAATTTTTTCATAAATTTCTTTAGCTGTATTAATAAATGCTTCTTCTACATTATCAGAAGTTTTGGCAGATGTTTCCATAAATACCAATCCATGTTCTCGGGCAAACGCCTCACCTTCTTCTTTCTTCACTTCTCTTTTTGTTTCCAAATCACTAAGCAAAATTATAAAATGATAATAAATCCATAAGAATTTTGACTATGAATTACCTTTTGTTGCCAATAAGCATGATGACCATGTTGGAATTGGAATGTTGTCGTGCATCTTCTAACCATGTTGTCAAATGGTTGAATGTATCACGACGAGTAATATCATAAACCAACAAAGCACCAGCTGCACCCCGATAATATGATCGTGTGATTGATCGGAATGCTTCCTGGCCTGCGGTGTCCCATATCTGAAGCTTGATGGGTTTCGTATCAATAGACACTAAGCGTGCACCAAATTCAACGCCTGAAAAACGATGACGGATGTAAAATTTTCAAACACTACGAACAACAACAATGGAAATATTGCGGAACAAAGTTAGGTTAACAATGATTAGGAAGGAGAAATATGTAATATAACAACCGATTGTGAGGTCATGAACGGGCTGGAATCTCTTATCCGTGAATTGCAGCAAAAGACACGACTTGCCCACACCTGTAACATATGCCAGTTTGCGATTACGATACGTGCACTCAAAAAATACGGACGAGTAGTGGCGCGAGGGTGTCGGACTGACCTGTGTCTCCGATTATGATGTACTTGAACAGGTACGCGTAAGACATGACGAAGGTGGCAGCGCAGACCTGAGATGATTAGAGGGTAAACAGCCGAGGGACGGTGGCAACACAGTCGTAGTTGCGGACGGACTGACGATCTGCGAGCGGAACAAAGGAAGCCGAATACGATCCGCGATGCGTGCGGGGATGTGGAAACACAAGAAAACGGTAAGAATATTCTTTTGTGCGCACGAAAACTGTGGAAATATTACGCGTTAAACCTACGTACGTACGTGTGTGTGTGTGCGTGAGTGTGCGCGTGTGTGTGCGCGTGCGAGCTAGTCAACACCGCGCGTATCACAAAGCAGCCGTACAACAATAACAATCCATAATATCACAAACGCGTAACGCAAACACAAGTTCACGGTAGTATTAGTTGTTGTTGATTTGATGGTACATTCAACGGTAATAGTTATTGGGATAGTGCATCTTTTTCGCGTTCCGACGACTAACCACAGGAACAATTATTATTAATAATAATATATCACTACTGGTGGGGTAAGGTAAGGGGCGGAGTACGATAGAGTGAGGAAATCCCTCTGTACGATAATGGCAATATTGAGCAATGTTGACGTGTGGTGGTGATTCAGTGATAGTGCGTAGTAATCACATTCGAACTGTACCGTAAACAGTACGCATGCGCGCTTTTATCCTTGACTAAGTGGACTGTTTTTACAATTGATAAGTTTTTCAAGACAATTTGACAATCAAAATATTCTTTATTATTTTTTCTAAAAATAAATATGTCTTTTTGATCTCGAATTTTGTCTGATGTACGTTACAATGTACCAATTATTTGTAATAATGTTGTTCATGAATCACATAATTAAAAAAAACCAATTACCATTTTAAAAAACAAAATTACGTAAAATCAATAGCCAGGTTTTATAGTATTATTTAATCATATTAATAACGTCTCTGTCGTCACGATTCCTACCCTTGCTACACTCATCCATGATTCAATAATGATGGTAGTTCGTGAGTCAACTCAGAGTCGACTTGGGTGCAGGGGCGTACCCAAGGGGTCCGAATCCCCCCCCCCATTGAAATGTCTACATACTCGATGGTTTAATAGTAAATAGTTAAATAATAGTATATAGTTTATTTAAATTTCCCATTATCTTCAATGTACAAAGTTTATAGATTATATAATATACCTTTTTTTTGTGTTTGAACCCAGTGTCGAGTGGGAAAAAATATACCTATAATGTTTAAACCATGTTTAATTTATACAAACGACCAGGTATGACTGATTATCTTATCATGTGCTGATACCACGAACTGATTCCAAAAACCAAAAACTAATACAATTTCTACAATTTTTGTGATGAGGACTTGTTCCCAAATTTATACAAGTTAATTAAACTATTATGTATCTTACCTGTCACGATATGTACTTCTGATAGAAATTTTTCATCAGTAAAAAACCTTAGAACATGTATCAGAAATACTGTATCGGAAGACAGACTAAATGGACTTGCTATGTTTAATATTCAAAGAAAAGGAATCTTAAAATATACCAATAGTCCACAATTCATATTATAATAACGGGAGTACCTTATTTACAAACGAACATGGGTATCCACCAGTGGCGGATCTAGGATTTTCTCATGGAAGGGGGGGTTATATTAAATGATTTAAGTACGAGATGTGTATCCGTAATCTGACATAAGTTAGATACGTGTATCCTTCATGGTTACGAAATAATAAAAAAAAAGTTTTTATTTAAATTGTGCATACAAAAATTGTATTGATATATTGCCTACGGCCCACGGAAGGGTTCTATTCCCCATATCCCCCCCATAGATCCGCCGCTGATATCTACTGATTAAATTATCTGTGTACCTTATGATCATGGAACATGTTCTACGCAGGGTAGTTCCCATAGGCATAGGGTATATTACATATACACCGTATACTCTCAAGATTTTATTTCAATATATATTATAGATATACTGCGTATACTCTCAAGTATCAAATAATAAAAATACAAAATTTAAATTTGAAAATTATTTAAACAGTATAATTGACATTTAAGGGGTCTGCTCGCGACCTGTTTTTTTGCTGTAAAAGATGCCTTACAGGAAAAACTCTCATGGCTCATAGAGTGATCACATTTAAATCATTTTTTTTTTTTTTTTTTTTTATTAGAAAGAGGAAGACTTCTTACAGGGCGCATTGAACTTCAATTTTCAAAATTGTACGTTTAAGCATCACATTAACCGTTTTAATATGATCAATTTTTACTTATTTTTAAAACATTTTTTTGCCGTTTTTATTCAAAAATTTTAAAATCAAATTTCAATGCGACCTGTAAGAAGTCTTCCTCTTTCAAACAAAAAAAAAAAATTATTGAAATCAGATCATTCTACGAGCCGTGAGAGTTTTTCCCGTAAGGCATGTTTTAGAACAAAAATGCCCACCGAAGTAAGGAACAAAAATAATCAAACGATAAAAATAAGTTGCAGAAAATGTTTTTTACCAATGTATTTTATTAATCGTTTTAATATTTGTACAGATTGACGAGGTAATATAAAGAGGATATCAGGGGCACAATATCAATGAAAAAACTGGAGGTGCTGAAGCCCTTCTATCTTTTTCATGTTCCTTAATGGTTATAGACACCCGCAAACCGTACAATTGAACATTTACTAAAATATTTAGTAAATATATGAATGTTTCTAAATTTAAATTGTTCACTTTAATTTTATATTTTTATTGCGCGTAAAACGAATTACCTGTCTGTAAACACAAATGTTTTATCGCATGATCACTATTAGATTTTGACTGAAGCTCGTACGCTGTGTTCGAGATACAACCCTACTAGTTAACGACGGTCCGTGGGTCTAACGACGGCCCGTAGCGGTAGCGGTTGATCGTTTCGTCGCCGCGATAACGTCAGCACTGCGACGACACCCACTCAGCTGAGTGCGCTACTGATGGTAGACCCGAACGTAAGTGATAGCTAGTCGGAATTGAAACACATAGCAGTACCGCTAAACCCTCAGTCAACCGTTGTCCGTTGTTAGTGATAGTTGTGCGCGCAGCTTGATCCACGGCCGTTTCTCGGGCTCGACGTTCCGTTGCGGTTGTGTTTGCGTGTCCAAGATTTGGGCGATACTCCGGTTTCGCGTGAGAAAATTCATAGTCCCCAAGACAGCTGAGATTTCCGGCGAGGCACAACGTTTCACAGTCGTCACTGCGTGAACATCGCCTTTAAAAACGCTCGCAAACAAACGAATATAATCAACGTCCGCGTCAAAGTAAGTCAGCCTTGCGGCCTACACGATTACAAAAAAACATCCAACGCAACTCGGCCATTGATTAAAATGTTAAAATCATAGATCATAATAATACAACAGTACAGAGGCGTATTTAGACTTACTTCAGGGGGGGGGGGAGCGACTCAAATTTTTTCATCAATTCAGGCTCAACATTTTTGGTAATATTTAAATCAGGTGAATCCTTAATACTTGTGGTTTTTTTTTCTAATCTAATACCGGATCCACTTAGAATCGACTTTTGTGTAGTTATTTTTTAACACCTACCTATCTGTGTTTTAAAAGTTATGCTTGTGTTTTATTTGATTTTTCATTGGGTATAGACCCGACAATAAGCCCAATTCAGTATTCACAGCTACGTGTAATTTGATTTCGTTATAAAATCAACATTAAAAAAATTTGAAATGTGTAACTCACATATAATAAATTCCTTAAATATGGATTCAGGGGGGGCAAACGTCCCTTCGTCCCCCTCCCTAAAATATGCCCATAAAAATGATACAAGTTTGAGTGCGTTTGTTTATAATTCTTTATTACATTAATAGTATTATTAATAGTATAGTTAGTCAAATGATAATGTCTGCTATCGAACTCATTAATAATTAAATTCATAAATGTCCAAGTTATATTCACATATCCATGTATAACTGTAGTTTTGTATACTTTGTGTAGCTTTCAGGACCACTAGATTTTAATAGTCTAAAAACTGGCCCCCTAGTAACTTAAAGTTGCCCGTCCCTAACTTATACTATATAGCAGGGATGGGCAACTCAAAGTAACTAGAGGGCCAATTTTTAGAACTTTAAAATCTGGTGGGCAAATGAAAGCAAAAATGAAAAAAAGGTCATTAAAATTGACATTTAGCTTTTATTTAAATTAATTTAATTTTACGTCTGAACCAATACAATAAAATAAGTGCCTTATACCTACAGAAAAGTTAGCTATGCGGATACGGATATAAATTATACTTAGAAGTCTAATTATTTAACTGTAGTTCAATGTTAGAGAAAAGTATAATACCCACATTTTACGATCAACGTGAAAAAAATTAGATACTGATAACCGCCGAAACGTAGTACGGGTCAAATGAAAAAAGTACGCTGGTACGCCAGACGCCCATCCCTGCTGTATAATGACGAAATGTTGAAATAGTGTACCTTGATCTAAGGATTAAAATGTATTTAATCTAGTGTGATACACTGTATTAGATGGTAGTATAGCGATGCCCGGGCGAAAATATATTTTCGTTCTATGGTTGGGCAAATGATGACGCGCAAGGGAGCGCACACCCAAGTTGACGTTCCAGCTGTAATCTCTACTGACTATTCGAACGTCCGGATATTAGAAACGTTGACACGTGACAGCGAACTGAATGTTCGGTGAATCTTTTGGCGCTATGTGATACGTCATACGTCATCCGGCCGAATGGAAGGAGCCAATATCGCGCATGCTACGTATTTTGGCAGGGCGCGCATTAAGACGCAGGTAGGGAAACGCGACGTAGTTCTCTGTAATCCATCAGAACTAGTGCTTATTGGTAGGCAGGGCAGGGCAGTGCAGTCCTGCTGCTACGAAAGCCTGCACCGCACAGTGTTTACGACACGGTTTCCTGCGATTGAGTGCCGCAGTTTTTATTGCTAAATTCGTTTTGATTGTTCCTAACAACGTTTAATTTTTTCATTTCTATCGTTATTTATATTTTTTTATTAATCTATAATATTATGATGGTAGAAAAATTATTGTTTGTCAGAAAATTCCGACGACAAATTTAACTAGTAACTTTTTTTGTACGTTTAATTCAGTGGTTTACTACATGGGGATCGCGAAAGATAGTTCGGGGGTCCCCGAAAATAATGAACAAATTAACATAGGTGGACATCAGATGAGGAAGGGCATAGCCCCCCAAATCGAAACTTTTTTAGAAGTGTTATCCGTTGTTTTTATAATAATCTGTTAGTTTTTTTGAAAATCGTAAAATAAGAAATAATAAAAAACTATTTACAATAGCATCAACATACCAATTAGTTCGGCTACTTGTGAAAGAAGATTCAGTGCAATGAGAAAAAAATAAAAACTTGCTAAGGTTCAGCGATCTTTCAATACTATATATTGAAAATGATATATCGAAAATCTCTGCTGATACAAATAGATATTTATCATTAAATTAAAATATTAATTATTTTTAAATATAGGTTATTTAGTATTTTTTTTAATACAATTTAAACATATCTATATTTTTAGTAGTAATAAGTCTTACTTGTGCACGAGAAGGGGGTGTGAGGGCGAAGCCCCTGCGAGTTATTTCACATTGAATTATTATAGTCCCCCAAAAATTCAACCAAATGTCCGCCTATGTAAATCAAAATGTTTTAAATTTAATCTTATTATTACGAATGTACAATAACATATCGAATAAAATAGCGTGTAGCGTAATCTTATATGACGACGGATTGTTAACCATAAGCGATTTTCGACACCGATCTTAATTGATTTGGCATTTAATATCTGGTTATTGTTACACTCATACCGTATACGTATATTTCTATAGACCTTATACTAAGTACTGAAATATTCATTGACTTTATACTTAGTATAAGGTGTATGGGTATTTTAATAATTGTACTAATATACTAATATATTTTATTAAGAGTAGCAGTTTCTAATATGAAATCTAGTATGGAAACTTTAGTTTCAAAAATTGAAACACAAGATTCCTATAAAAATAAGAAAACTGTTAACATACATTTACATATTATTTATTTATTTTTTAAATTTTTTTATTTTATTTATTTTAGTATATGTATTCAAAATATTTTCATATTTATATTATTAATTATTCGTAGGATTCGTATCGAAAAAATAAATTGGGGTTTGCGGTTCAAAAAAAGTTAAAAACCACTGGTTTAGTTAACGAATGTATCAAAATAAGTTCATTAAATTCATCATTAGAATTTGATTCAGAATTTAAATTTATTAAATTTTCGGCTTATATATTGATCATGACTAGGACTTGGGACTTCATGCTCTGAAAAACCTTAAAATATGCATGTACATATGCATATATGCTTAAAAAATATGCATGAATGCTAAAGTATGCTCTTAAAAATATTTTATTTTCCATATAAAAAAACAAAAATAGCAAATTTATTTATTGTTTTTTTCGCTTCTTCTTTAAATTTTTCTTTGAACAAAACAAAAAGAAACAAACATTTCAATTGTAAATGCATATAGTATTTATGATTTAATAGTTTTTAATATTTTACCCAAATTAATTGCATTATATGACTAATATATTTCGTATATTTTCCAATGTAATGAGCGATGATTGTATGCTAATAAATGTTTGAATCTTGAAAACGGCTTTATATCTATTGCACCGATCGATATTCGAGTTAATATATTATGCGATTACCTCATTGATACATACATTTATTGATGAAAATACAACTTTTCCCCCGTATCTTTGGTCATCGTGTAACATATCAGGTGAAAGAACAACAAATGCCTGTGAGGCATTTCACTCAGCGTTTGGGAAATATTTTTATTCATCCCATTCAAATATTTTTGTTTTTTATGAAGTTTTAAAAATAATGTAATACAACGATTATAATACGTGTTCTCTTATTATAAAATTATTATAATTATTAGTTATCACAAATATCCCAAACTCTAAATTTATGACAAAAAAAATTATTATTAACCCTTTTTATACCGGCGCAATAGATGTATACTGTACAGGTAGTATCCCAAATTCGGCGCAATTGACGAATATCGTTGAAAACGAACGTTCGACATCAACAGATGTTATTGGAGTGAATCGATAATACTTTAAGCCGTTAACTTCCAAGTCTTCAAGATTTTACATTGAATTGCCAATTCCTTATAGTATATTAGAAATATTTTCAATAATTTCAAATCCTTTATATTTTAACATTATGTTTACTAATTTTATATAAATAGCTTTTCCCTTTTCTCTTTGTGGACTTCGTATTTTTTCTTTGGCAGTTTTTGCTACGAAAATAGATTCGGATAGCATCATATTTTGTTTTTTCTAGAAGTGTAATATATGTTGAAAGAAAACTATAGTTTGAAAAAATAAATACCAAGTTTGCTTTCAAATGTGGGTTGTTTAAAATATTTTTTATAATTTCATTATTTTCAAAATAATAAATAGCCGTATCTAACTATGTCCTCCAGCGAGTTAAAATTGGTTGTGGTGGTTTTGGAATATCAGGAATTTAATTTTTAAGTATACGAGTTCGAGATGGCGGTTTCAAAAAAATCTTTTTTTCATTCTAGATATTAATTGGTCAACTGTGTTAAAATTTGAACATACTTATTCGGCCACACGGAACACATACATGATCCATCTTTGAGTAAAGTTGTTAGATTGCTTTTCCCGATTTCATCGTAGGCGAAGCGTTTGACAAAAATAACAAAACATTATCATTTACGCCTTGTAGCCATAAACAATTCATGAATTTATCAAAAAGTTTAAAAATAGTTTGAGAATTGGACTTTTCTAATTCTTCTGTATTTAATAAAAATATCTTACCCGGGGTCCCTCAGTAAGTAAAACTCCTAAAATAACATTGGCTACGAAGCGACTTTCGACGTCGGTCGAATAGATCAATAGGTTATACGAATGGCTCTTAGCACGAAAAAATGTTTGTAGAATCAATGACGCGTAGCCCATGATACTATAATAACAATTATGAGGATATCATTGTTTTGTTTTTTTTTTTAATTTAAATTTGAAATTAATTTTGGTGTTTGATTTATTTTCGGCATATCAAGTCGGTTAACTGACTTGATACGTTTTTCAGTTTTTAAGATAATGCAAAACAGTAAAACGTTTTTTAGCCCTAACTTTAACATCACAATGTTTACAAAATAGTACTGAATAATTAATTAAAAACCCCGAACTACCAAATTCTGACTGTAGGCGATTATATTTATTTTTTATTTAAGGCATTTTAAAT